CAAACCAATATTTAGTTTCCCCAGGCAGATCCCACAGGTGATCGGAGGGGGAGGCACAGCCGCGTTCCCTTTCGCATCGGAGGCTTTTGACGGCAATTTTGGTGGTATTTGGGTGCGGGAGGGGATAAGTGGGCTGCAGCGTAGCCTGGGCTACGAACCCTATGGGACCGGGGTGGCCTGGCCCCCACGTTACCTTGATGTCCTTCCCGAAAAGGTTTGCGTAGAAGCAGAGCCAGTTGGGGGAGATGTAAAGCCTTCCCTGGATGAGGATGTCTCTCTGGAGGGCGCAGGAACAAACTGCAAGGCAGAGAGAGGGGCATGGCAGACCGTGTGCCAGATCCTGCCGCTCCCGTGCCCGTCCCTCGCCGTGCCACCCACCTTTCAGTACGCTCTCCTCCGTCGGGATGTCCTTGAACAGCTTGTGGTACTGGGAGTTGTACTTGCTAGCGGCCTGAAAACGAAACAGAGCGAAGTTATCTGGTGACCTTGCTGATAAGGAGACCCAAAAAAAACCCCACCCTCCTGCAAAAAAAAAAATCTTCCTCTCCCCACACCCGGGACTGGCGCAGCAGGGTCCCACCGGGCTGGCGACAGCGGAGCCGAAGGGCTAGAGGAGGATCAGATGATCCAGCACCCAGCAAACGCTGCGCCATCCTCCCAAATAAACATTTCCCCTAATATCTAGAGTTTATCTAAGGAGGCTGAGCCTCTGTGAGGAGCCGGTTTTCCCCCGGGCTCATCTGCAGGCAATTTATTTTGCCCAATGGTTTCTCTCCTCCTCCTCCTCGAGCTCTTCCCCTTATTCGGGGCACGGTGACAACACTTGCTTTGCGCCCATCGCGCCGCGCCATCCAGCTATTTATATTCCCGGTGCCTCTTCAAAGCCTGCCGGCAGCTGCGGTGGGAGGCTCGACAGGTTCGCCCTTAAATAATTCCGTATATAAGTTAAAGGCTCCGAAGCAGTTCAACACTTTGCATTAAATCCACTCAATTAGTCCTGTAAGGCAGCGCAGGCAGATTTGTGCCGGCGGGGGCAGTGCCCCAGACCGCGGGGTGCTCCCCGGTGACGCGGCTGTCCCCGCGGCGGCGATGGCTGCCACCCGAAATCCAAGGGACGAGAGGCTTTGCCAGGATGCAGAGAGATCCAGCACAGCTCGAAGGGCCTGGGGCAGCAAGGCTGGTTTGCAGACCCTCCCGCCTGCGGCGACAAGGTCACCTTTGCTCCGCGCACCTTGTCACCGGATGAGCCGGGCCGTAAGAGGATCAAGGCTCAGCATCACCTGGCGTCGGCTTAGACACCCCCCTGGAGAGACGCCGGGATGGTGGGGGTGCCGGTGGGAGCGTTTCAGAGGGACACGGCGGGGGGGGGCTGTGGCATCACCTCCAAGCCACCACCAAGAAACAACCCCCTGGTCCCAGCACAAACCCATTGCCAACTCCATAACCCTCCCAGATGTCTCTGAATAATCGGCAAAATGTTTTTCTCCTCTAGCTTCTTCACAGGGAAAGGCAAAACGCCTCCTCCCTCCGCTCCTTCCTCTTCCAGAGCATCTCTTGTTTGTAGACAGACCAAAAAGCTCTACTTCAGGCATGATTTGACCAACAAAAAGGTTCAAACGGAGGGGAACGGAGCTGCTTGCAGTCAAGATTTCCATTTTTTCCTTTGCTCTGGATGGAAAATCCTGAAAGCGTTTGCAGGGCAGATCACAGGCCACACCAAAC